TTGGTCAAAAAATTACACAAGTATAAATCAACCAAATTGAATGAGAGGCTGTGATGTTCGAATTGTGCAATAGAGAAAGGTAAAGAGAATGACACGATTATTTACAAGGAAAGTATAACGTCGTGATTTTACCCCATTTTTTTCAACTTTAACCACCTTGTTAACGGAAAAATGCAACGGAAGACTTTATTTATTTATTTATTATTTTTCAAACCATTCTAAAAAACCATACGTTACCACTTTCAAAAACAAACATTCAACCGTTTAATTATAGCAGAAAAAGAGGTTCTAGAAATAAAAACCAAACATGCTTAAGTGGCATCTTCATTAAAACTAATTACCCAAAAAGAACCCAACCTCACCAAGCCATGCTCCTGAGCTACCTGTACCAATCAAAAGACATTCAACAAAGAAACAAGTGTCAGCAACCGCATTGTGAGCCGACAAGTTGTACACAACCAAAATGAAAACACACAATTCCCGTATGGGTCATCCATGCAAATCATGATAATAGCGTAGTCAAGAAAAACAAGTAACATAATATAATAATTTATTTCAATCATATAGTTTTCAACTTAACTCAACCGATTATTACATATAATTTAATTCACCGTTTATTATATGTAATTTTTAATTGAACCGATTAATTACTTTGGGGTTCCTTAGTGACTGTCTACCCAACAATTTAACCCCGTTCACTACTCGTGTGCTCAGCCAGTTTAGTGCTCTAAGTAGCTAATGACTTCCACCCGAATACACCAACCCCAAGACTTCCACTTTCGCTACTCCGACATGCAAAGTACAAGTATTTTACGGTGTCGTTCAGGATCGGTACAAACAGTGTCAATTCTACTGATTCCCACGTGATGTTTGATCCGACCACACCATAAAGCCAACACCACTCCAGTTCCCGTACACCGAGGTGCACACGAACCACGTGTCACACGACCATCTAGAAAGTTCGTGCAACTTACAACTGATAAGGCTTAAGCTCTTTCAACCTATTAGACTTGCAAGGTTCTACCCATGTCACCATTACACTCCGCAAAACATGCATACACCAAAATAATCATGTTACTCATACAACTTAAATGAGCAATTAACATGTAATAAAGTTCATCAAGATGCCACCATACTTTAGCATATGACTACCAATTCATGAAACAACATATCTACATCCAATTTACAACTATCACATAACATGAATATCAACATATCAACCGATTCCAAGGAACAACCATACACAAGATGCAAACAATATATTCTCAACAATTATCACAAGCATTT